TCAGGGTCCTGCCGTGCCAGGCTGGGAGGGGAGGGGAGGGGAGGGGGGATTATGGAGCTGCCCGCGCCTGGCACCGCCGGCCCCGGACGCCTGGGTCCGTTTTTTGGGGGGGGGCGAGAGAGACCAGGATGCCTGGGTTCTCTGGAGACCCCTGGCCCCGCTGGTGCCCCTCACTCCTGCCCCGCAGCCCCCTTACTGCCCAGTGCCCCTCACTCTTGATCTGCAGCCCCCCAAAGCCTCATGGGTGCCCCATACTCCCGACCTGCAGGCTCCTGCCCCCCCAGCCCTGCCAGTGCCCCTCAATCCTGACCCGCAGCCCCTGCCCCACACCCTTTGGGGCTGGGGGGGAGGGGAGCTGCAGCTAATGAGGCAGTTGAGCCTTCTGGGGCTTCCAGGCCAGAAAGAGGAAGTGAAAATTGCCAAGCGTTAATTCGGAAGTTGGCAAGGGCTGGGTGGGGGTGGGAGGGTGCAGGGGGAGAGGAGATGTGACCCCCCTCCACTCCAGAGTTCAAGCCCCAGGGTACTGCAGGGAGCAGGGATAACGGGTCCCCCGTGCGGCTGGCTCTGGGGTGGGGCGTTGGGGCTGGGTAGAACAGGTCCTAGGTGTGGCTGCCTCTGGGGTGGAACAGGGCCAGGGGTAACGGGGTTCCCTGCTGCAGCTGGTGGTGGGGTGGGGGGGCATCATTGCACTGCAACCCCCCAGATCAGGGTCCTGTTCTGGGTTGTGGGGGGCAGGTTGGCCATTGTGGGGGATGGACGGACATGAGGATCCTCTGTGCTACTTCCGGTCTAGAAACAAACAGGAAGCAGCACGTCCTGTCACAGCCACGGCCCCTCCCTACCCCCACTGCCCTGCCCGTGTCCCTCACTCCTGACCTGCAGCCCCTGCCCCCCCAACCCTCCCGGTGCCCCTCACTCCTGACCTGTAGCTCCTGCTGGTGCCCCCCGCCCCCAAGGACTAGGCTCCCCATCACCCTTAAGGCTCCTCCTGGACTCCCCCTCAGGCCTCTGTAGATGCCCCCAGGCTTCATGTTTCTGTGGCAACCAGCTAGGCCTAAGCCCATCTTTAGGAGTTTGGTGGTTATGGGTGCGGGGGCAGAGCAGGGGGGAGGTCAAAGATCAGGTCTGATCCCCTGGATGTTGCGGGGACTGAGGCTGTGATTCTCCCCTCCGCAGGGTCTTCAAGAAGTCAAGCCCTAACTGCAAGGTGAGTGATCCGTGTCCTCCACCAGCCCTGCGTGCCCCTGGCTCCTGAACCGCAGCCCCCCCCGCCCCCCTTCGGTTTCCTGTAGCATTTCCACCCCTGCCCA